ATGTTGATGCACTGACTTGCAGGAAATGCTTTGGTTTCCTGTGTATGCGCCGCAGTGGATCGTTTACTCTTAAAGCGTGGAGCGCTCCTGTGAATGGAGTGGTGTGTATACTTCCTACTGGTTTGGGCAGCAGATGGAATTACCGGTGCATTCGGGGAACTTGTGTCCGAGGATCAAGGCTTTCAGTTGTACGTCCGGCTCCAGGTTTCGTACTCGTTTGGTTTTTAATTGGATCACTTGTAACTTTTGACTGGCGACGTTTCTGCTGATGTCGGATGTCTGATCTGTTTTTGTTTCTCCTGCATTAATTGATGATGCAGTGGGGAAACCTGCATGGCAACACATGGACGAAATAGTATACATGTTATGCTAAAAGGCCATGTTGTATGAAGGCACTGCATGTAAATTGCCCTTCCTGCTGCAGCCAGTACATGATTATAAATAGTTTATGTTGGAAATTCTTTTGGTTGCTTTTCAGTTATTCCAAAAAAACAAATCCACCTTTCCAAATCATCGTTCTATGATTGTGATCTTGGCTGAATCTGAATGTTCTGTGTGTAATTAAATCCTGCCTTCTCTTGTAACCTTGTGTTGGACTTGAATCTATTGTGGCTTGTAGAATATGTCATGTTATCACTAAAAATGTAATGTTAAAGGTTAATGCTATTAGTTTTATGTAGTAGGTTTGAGGTGAGTCGGGGCCTTGTGTTAATGCCACTAGGATCTAGAGAATCTGAAAATAATTTAAGTGATTCTGTTCATGCAGTGTAGAATATGTACGAGGGCCCATCAGTCACTGAGGTGATGCGAGTAGCTTCAGAGATAAACAGGATATGCTATTCTCTTGATGTGGTTACAAAGTGAAAGCATTTAAGGCCCAGGCTCTTAGAAGAAGCACCTATGCTGAGGTGCAGAAAGATGTGATGTGTAGTATGTACTGCATCCTTGTACATCGTGGCTGGATTAAGAACTCAATCCTGCGTGGCGCTTCATTTCTGCAGTTTTTTTTTTTTCCTGTAAAATGTTCTGTGAACATATTTCGATAAAACAAATGACATCAAGGCACCCATGACTCTGAGAAAGTGACATAAAGGGGCACGGAATGGTTTCATCGGTGATGATGGTGGTTTCAAATATAGAAAGATCCCATTCAAAAGAAAAGGCGTGAACTATCCATGGCATGCATAAGTGCTCAGTGGTTTTTGGGGAGGTGACTGTCACCAGTCCTGGTGCCATCTATCCCAGTTTTTCCATATGATAAATATAGTTGTCTGTAATTATTTAGTCTATATTTCTTTGACCGTACAGCTAGCCATACACACTTCACAAATGGACTCTTGATGAATCTATCTAGTCTAGATTTGTTGTGCCTCTTACTAAAGCTGTTATTTGTCAAATGCTGTCCAGATAACTCGGGTGCAGATGCAAGAATATCATAACATAAACCGTTAACATATAGGGAGCGCAAACTCAGCAACGTGCAGGATTCATATCGTTAAAAGGATCCATAGAATCAACAAAAAGCTACATTTTGTCTTCTAAAGATGGACTTAAAACAATCCAATGTAAAGATTATTACGTGTGTCCATTGCATCTGGTCTATGCATGAGATTTTGGTGACCACACTGTTCCCCAACCTTCTTGGGAACAACTCTGAAGTTTAGCTGCTGTTTTAAAAATGTCTTGATTATCATGCTACTATGTTATGAACCCAAATAACAGCTCACCTGCTAACATTAGCAAACCGTAAAGTGGATCTACCTTTCGGCACAAATGGCTAAGGAATGGGGGACTGTACAGAATCTGTATTAGTTCTTAAAATGACTTGACAGTGAATGTATCACTGACTTTCCATACTCTAACTTCTTGTGGATGGCCTGACTGGTTCATTTGCCTGTAACATTGAGGAAACTCAGCCTCCAGAGACCTTACATCCTCGCCCACATTAAATGCATCACTGCTGAAGTTAGGAGGGAAAATCTGTCCCTTTACACACTCGGGGGCGGGATGAATAAACGGCAAGAAAAATGCAAAATATAAAAATAAACGTTAGAATAGATTTGTGTAGTCGGAGTACCAACTACCAGTATCCTTCTGACCCAGAGCAGTGACTGTCTGACCTACATTGTATACCCTTCAATTTTTGTATGTTCTTAATGGCAATACACAAACTTTAACTTAAGATCACATTTTATTCAGTTATACCATCAGGTTTAGAGCACCGACACACATGATATAAAATAAATAATAAATACATAAATAGAAATTCAGAGCTTTACAAGTGCTTACGTCAAATACAATCATTGTTTAGAAATTGATCGAGAACTTTTAAATACATTTCACAGCAGATTCTTGTAGCAAGTACAGAGAAAAAATATATAATTGTTAAAATTTAAGATTATTATGTAGTAAAAATTCATTCAGAATAAATAGTTGCTGTTTCTCCACATTGCACTGACTTGGTTACAAATGTAAATATTTTACAGCAGTGTTCACTAAAAACAGATCTACCTGAGGTCACTCCATTAGACATGCGTGGATGTCGCTTCATTACATGAAATCCTTAAAACGCACGCATGTATTCTCACAAAGTCTGTTTCAGAACCAATGGTTGGTCACGTAGACTCACACTAGTGAAAGATCCCTTTTTTGGATTTCATTGCATCATTGAGCTGCTTTCTAACTGAAATAAATTTTCCACCGCTTTTGCAAAGTCACTGAGAGACTTTTCATGCCACTTCTCACAGGCACATTCCGTGGAGTTCGTCAGCGCCTGTGGAGGAGACGATGAGTTAGTTCAGTCCAGTCAACTTCTAATCACTTGGCACTTGATTTGGCAACACGGTGCGTAGAAATACTTACATGTCCTTTACGCTCTCGTTGTTTGATGTAATCATCCAAGACATCGAGAGTATTGTTTATGATGTCTTGATCTTTAGCTTCACATTCCACTTTGGCTGTACCTTGTAGTTCTCTTAAAACGCAGTCCAGTGCTGTGGTAATGCATTGTGTCTGTGAGAGAGAGGGAGAGAGAGATGTTTTAGCTTCCTTTCACTGCTCTGACTGAGGCAGAGCTGTGGCTGCACGGGGAGAAGTCGGCAAATAGAAGCTGTCTCAGCTGTGTGAAGCAGCAACACCTGCCGAGCTCACTTCCTGTACTAGAGAACCTTTACATGTGGTTTGTAGAAGTTCATCTAAACCCTGACACTTGAGCTTCTTTGATGCTGGGGAGTACCCAAAATCACTTTTTTTGTTCTTGACTTATAGTATTCACAAACTGATCAATTCATCATCATATTTGGTACAGTACACAATTTATGATGAAATGCAGTATATATATATTTTTCATTTCATCATAAATTGTGAAGTTTCTTGGAATGCAACATTATATTCTAAATCTAAAACGATACAAAATATTGCCTTACCTTCACGAAGTTTGGCGGAGCATAGAAAGTTGGATCTGATGGCTGTGTGGACAGAAGAAAACATTGGACTTCATTAGCAACTGGCAGAAACTCAGCAAACTGAGCAGGGACATACATTTGGCTTAAAATAACTTACACATGTGACGGTCTTCAGCACATCAAGGACAAGGATGTCTTCAATGGGTCGTGATTTTGTGAGAAGGCACCCAGAGAGAAGTATCCAAAAGGCAATCCCGATAAAGTACCCCATCTTCAGCTTCACGGCT